GTTTAGACTCAACTTTCCCCATTGTGAAGATATATGGATTCAGGTTAATGAATCCTCATCTGATAACCCCAAAAAGTTCATTGTTGGAGTTGTTTACAAACATCCTCGCAACGATCTTTCCGATTTCATGGAAACAATGAATTCCCTACTTTCCAAACTAGAAAATTCGAAAAGCCTTTTTATAATCTTGGGCGACTTTAATATTAATTTACTATCCAAAGATAATTTGTCTACACGTTACACTGACATGCTTCTATCGCACCTAGCCGTTCCAATCATAACGCGCCCAACAAGAGTAACCTCGACATCACATACATTAATTGATCATATATACACGAATGCAATCGATCGCTGCTCCTCGTCTATTATCATACAACATGATATATCCGATCACTTTCCTATTATGTCATCCTTTTCTTTTTCGAACACAACTTTCCGTAAGGCCAAACCCCGCATGAAAAGAAAAATGTCTCATTTCAATGAGGAAACATTCAGAAATGATGCTCAAAATGCATTCTATGGATTTTTATTGACAGAATTGTCCACTGATAGCTTCAATGAGGTGTTCAACATCTTTATGACCTCATTGGAACATTTACTCGATGAACATGCACCTATGGTACCGGTTTCTCGCAAAAAAACAAAAATTCTATCCAAACCCTGGATTACGAATGGTATCCAAACATCCATTAGATTAAAAAGTAAAATGCATAAAAAATATTATTTGCATGGCAGTGAAAGCCAACGCGCACATTACAAAAAATACCACAACATCTTAGTTCACCTACTAAGAAAATCAAAACAAGCCTATTATTTGTCAAAAATGAAAAGCAATAGAGGAGATGTAAATCAAACATGGCAGACAATAAAGGAGATTGTGAACATTAAATCGAGGAACAACTCCTCAATATCAGAACTAAAACTTCAAAATGGACTCAAAACTAATGATAGCCTAACCATTGCATCCGAACTTAATAAATTCTTCTCAAATATTGGGAAAAATTTAATAGCAGATGTTCCCACAACAAATGAACATTTCTCGAGCTTTCTAAAAGCTCCCGTTAAGGAGTCAATTTATATGCGAACAACAAATGTGACCGAAGTCTTCAATACCATTCTTGCTTTAAAAACGGGAAAGGCCACAGGCCCATATAACATCTCTACATTTCTCCTTAAGAAGATTGCTGACATAATCTCAGTTTGCTATATTTTGAAGCTTACGGAAGAGGATTTCCGTTCGAATTTATTCGCGTATTTGGAAGGGTTTTGTTGGTTGAAATAAATGAAAATATATACTGAGGCATTAGGATAAAGTAGGCGATCGTGGCATCTGCCACGACGAGCGTTATTAGCTCGCGACGAAATCTCGATCTCGTTTGATTACACTTGTGTTTTCTCCCAAAGAGCCCCCATTAGCCTTTGCGGCAGACATCAAACACCGTAATCTCAGCTTGAATATTCAGAAAGCGAAGACGGCGTTATTGCACCATTTTATTATTGGTGCCGACTGTCATCTTACAGGTGATTTTCTGATTGCAACAATCTTGATTTTTTGTAATAGTGAAACATTCTTTATTTTAAATTATGACATTTCGAGTTCTCCCGGAAAAAGGTTGAGTACCCGACGTTGGTCGATAAAACATTATTTGCGAAAAATTTAAATAAAATTTTACCTTTTACTACACCCGTTTTTCGAAAATACGAAGTTATAACACAAAACAATGCGTTTTGTTACATTTATTTTGCGCTTCCAATAAAATACATATATCTTGAATTTCGAGTCGCTGATAAAACCGTTCTTATCGCCAAAGCGCGATACACGCCTGGTCGAGTGTCAGGCGGTAATTTAGTCGACGATAAATTAAAATAGTTGACACGCGTGGTATGTATAACGATGATGACTGGAAATTAAATTTTGGTAACAGAAATGAATTTGTCCCAAATGTTATTTTATAAGTTTTGCTCGCTGAAGCAATCGATTTCTGTCAGAAGCACAAGACGTTCAAACAATAAATAACGATATCATATCAGTCCGATAACCTACATCCCCATTAAACATCGGTTACAGCCAGATAGATGAGGACTACACGCGCCACAATATCGCGTTGAAAGAATACCATCACGCATCACTCAAGCGTAACGAGAGAACTGTGTAACATAAATAAACAAAGACGAAAACAGCGTGAGCGAACTATATTAAGTTAACTATGGTCAACCCCCATAATTGGACACGTTTAGTGGCCATTACGATCGTTTCAAAATTTTGTTGTTGTTATTTTCTTTCGTCATTATTATCATTAAAAAATCGCTTTTTTCTTCGAATACTGGACCAATTGCTTTGGAATTTTCAGTGGTTCAAGATTGATTTTTTTGCCAGAAGGCTATTACTTTCATTTATTTCTGAGTTTTCTATGAATCTTATAAGATCTAATATTTCATCCGAAATTGCGCTGTATTAATTTTTAATTATGGAAACACGGTTTTTAATCCGCCAAGCGTGACGGCTGACTGTGAAAATTCCTGCGACTGAAAACCTGGAACTTTTTGAGGGTACGGTACCGGTAACTTCAAAGGTAAACCCTGCTTCGCTTTAGTCCACGTATCCATATATTTGAGCGTTGCTCTCTTGTTTCCAGTTCAAGTAGTATTCCATGTTCAATCACATCTGCTCTATTCTGCATTTGAAACCAATAACTGGTTGACTTATACAATTCCCATACCTGACATGGATTGGTAACAAGGCCAATCGGTGTATGACATAGTCAAGTTTGTTTTACCCATCCAGTATAAATAATATACAATGTTTAACGAGTAATATTGAATACACATATTGAATATGGGGAAGAGGAGTCGCGGAGAACCAAAAGGGTTATCAAGCAGCGACACCCAAAGTGTTGACCTATCAGATGTCACAAGTCCATGAGCTTTGTACAAATATACCCGTACCCGTGATAGATCCCATCCTATAACCACCAAGTTCATGCATCTGAAACAAAATACCTGACCAACTAACCCGTATCTGACATAGATTGGTAATAGGACCAGAGGCCATGGTTAGCCATATGGTCAAGTTTTTCTCTTCCACAGGATAAATAGGAAAGTCCGAGATATGAAAAAAGTAAGTGTCGACCAATCAGATGTTACAGGTACATGTGCTTTGTACAAATAACCGGCAAACTATTCCCATACCCGTCATGGACTGGTAACCGGATGAGAGGCCCTGATTCACAATATGATTAATTCGCTTTACTGGCTTCCCTTCTCCCCCGGGATAAATATGTAAATCATATCCTATAAGTATAACCATCAGAAACCAATTTAACTTCGTATTGGACATGTACTATCGGTATATTGACGATAATAGGACCAGAGGCCGTGGCTAGCCATATGGTCAAGTTGAAATATCAGTTTTCCCCTTCCCCAGGATAGATATAAAAGTTCAAGATTTGAAAAATGTAAATGTTGATGACCTATCAACCCTTTGTACATGTACTGTTTACCGAACAAGAGTCCACGGTTTGCCATATGATTATTGGATTTCCTCTCTACACCAAATCCAATTATAAAAGTTGATCATTGATTACTGCTTAGCGGTAGGCCATGCCCAATGAGGCGTATTTAGAACTCCAAATATTTCATGTGAAAAATGAAATGTGAAAACATGACATGTCAAATATTATGAAATTAATATCGCTATAAGAATCTCTTCAATTTCTTAACTGCTGCCGTTTGAAAGTGATTGTTCAGTTAAGTCCAGAGACTTTGCTTTGAGCAAACTTGCATTGTTGGGTTGAGGTTGAAAACTTAACACCTTATATATATTCAGATATTAGAGAAGTGTGGCATATTACATCACCTATCCGTGGACATTGAATAATAAATCTTTATTCAGGTTGACCCAAAAAAACGGAATCCATACAATATGTTCCAAATGGACTGGGTTTCGTTTTTGGGTCACCCTATAATATGTGTGGTACCGAACTACATCCATTACTGATTGCAATGTAATAAAGTTCATGTTGCATCGTTAATTATTGTGAAAAAATTTTGTCAAAATGCGTGGCACACTTTCAAGACCTTGGCGGCCCACTAGTGTGCCGCGATACAGTTTGGGAAACCCTGCACTAATCGTTGTCAAATGCGACTTTAGCGTGACGTCTAGTGCATTTAAGGGTGAGATCTGCCGCTACATTATTCCTTCTTCAGGTAGGCTACATATAGCGGTTGACGTTTCGCAAAAGTCGCATCCATTTTCAACATGTCGAACTGCCAAAAACAAAAGTTCTAGGAGATGCATTGCTGCTTGTCCATTCGACATCATTCGCATTTTGATACTCTGATTTCTGATAGCCAAGGCTGCCAGCATCACCATGAAAGTCTTGTCGTAATAAACATTCATGTTATCGAAAAATGGCAATTTCAAGTACTTGGCTTTGGATTAATTTTTCCTCTTCATTACGAAGGAATAAAAATAAAATTCCTTAGCTTTAGCTATATGATGAATGATGCCCTACCGTCCTAACACTAACCCAGGTGAATAGTTGCTAGTAAAATATGGGTCGATTTCCTTAACCAACCTACCAGTTGAATTCCGCTAGTCTCTCATACAAAATTGAACTCCATGAGATCCGAACAGCATGTAACTCGCAAAATTCTAGTTGTAGGCAATCAGGCTCTTGGGCGTGGAGCCCGGTTCTATCACATTGATTATTTATTATACAGATGCTACAACAATTAACAAAATACCACATAGAATAAAAAGAAAATCGAAGCACTTTTGACAGAAGACCAGTTAGATTATGCAGGCCTAACTTTGTATCATAAAGCTATAAGTTCTTTAATGAAATATTTCACATTCATATTTTTAAATTTATGGGATACACGAATTTTTTTTTATTTTTTGCTTTTTTTTTTTTTTTACTTTTTCATATTTAGGTAAATACGTGAATTTTTTTTTTCATCATTTTTTGACTATTTTTACTTTTTTTTTACTTTTTTAATAAAACTTAGAAAAACACACGGAGTTATAGAGAATAATGATGAACAAGAAAAGCGGATTGCAGTACATGAAAATTTAAAAAGCTGACTCACACAAAACAAAAAAATGAAAATTCGTAATAGGCATTGCAAAACAAAACATCATTGTAATAATCTACATGAATCACTATTATAATATTACTAGAATTCATAATGGACATTTCTTATTACTTTACATAGATTAGGGGCAAAGTTACACTGGGCTCCAGTAGAGTCCTTAGCTACCAAGTTTTCGGAACACAATATCAAACCACAACACTGAGCCAAAAATCAATCACTCCAGTCCGACTGTTATTATAACAGTCATGGAATGTATAATTTATGGCAGGTTTGTCGACAAATCAGAATATCATTAATTCATAGAGATGTTTTAAAATATACACAGAAATAATAGATATCAGTGGTTGACAATAATTGAAAAACATAAAAGAAAAAGATAATAATGCATTTCACAACAAAAATTAATAAAAATTCGAACAATGGCTATTTGAAACGAGTTACGATATAGGTTAATAACTTGGATTTTTTTTTATTTATAGTTTTATTGATTTTTATAGTTTTTATATATTTTAAAATTCAAGCAAAAATGTGGAGTGGCAAAGTAAACTGATATACAGCAAGAATAAGTACAGCAGTTGACAATTATAAGAAAAAACTCAAAACCTGACCTAAACAAAGAAAGTTGTTGACATACCATAAAAATTATAATTGCACAAAAATTGCTGAATGAGGGCGACATAAAAACAATACGGTTCCATTACATTTGAACCCATGGCAATTGTACCTGCATACTATCGCACTTATGAATTGTTTTTTGTTTTATGGATATTTGAACCCATACTCACCCTAACCCGTGGGTTTTAGCACCCGCATATAGATTGAACCCGCGGATATACGCATGGGTTCAAATGTACGTGGGTTCAAATGTACGGTCACCAAACAATACACATGATATCTGGAAAAGCTTAACGTGAGTTTGTTATGACTCACTAAAAATAGTACATAAGAAGCTGAAGCATTAATGCAGCACCCAACCTAATTTGTAAAACTAATAGGAAAAAAAAATTATGAAATGACAAGAATTTGTATGAAAAAACATGCAAATCAGGATTTGGTGCAGAATTTTACAAAATGCTCTGAGGTCAGTTCAAGAGGTCAAATCTTGTGAGGGATGACCTAAATTGCCGAAATCGTTGCTGAAGGGTAGTGCATATGACTAAGAGTCAATTACTATGTTTTCACAATCCAAGCCTATGCAAAATAAATCAGCATTTCACACAAAAAAAAAAAAATTTTCCCTCAATTCCACTATAACTGGACTAGACTATCTAGTCTTTAAGAGTTAATATTTCTAATATTTGATCCCTTCACTACATATGCATGTCCATAATGTGTTGCAGGAAACCACAGAATCATTCAGCATTCAGTCTGAGATTATTGGAGAAATTTAATGTTGAATATACGACATTAACAGTAACATGTTGATGAAACATTTGTATCTTAGCAATGTCTTTAGAATGTGGTCAGTTTGGGAAACTTCTCAAGATCATCGGCATCTGAAAAAAAAAAAAAAATTTCATTTAGATGACAAAATTGTGCTCAGTAGAGAAATATCATAACAATTTTCTATGTGATGTTTGAATAAGGCATTAAATTAGCAACCATTACAATTCTTGAATATTGTTTGTTAAAAATGAACTTGAGAAAAACTTGTTGAATTCCTGCAAATATAATAATATGTAATTGATCGTCCGCAGATATGTAAAGACAACATTCAAAAAACGAAGGCAAATTACTCACAGTACAGTGAACATAGCAAAAATAGGAGACAAAATGAGTTATTGTTTCACCCAATACACTGGTTCTCAACCAGTGGGCCATGTCCCACTGCTGCGCCACAAAAAGATTTTGAGATAGGCCACAGAACCATTAAAAAATGCTAGTTTTATTTGTATCACTATCTATAATTTTGATTGTAGTACCAATGATTGATGATGCTGTTTTCTGCTACTGAATGGTAATTTTCATTCCAATTATCAAAGGTTGCGAACCACTGATCTAATATGACTCCACGAACTATTTCGAGAATATAAAAGACAAGAAATCAAGTTTGCTGTTTTAGTAAATGGTATTTCACGTACCGTCATCACCTTCCTGCTGTATTGGTTTATTCTATTGCTTGGTTTCCACCTACAGAACCAGCTTCTTCTTGTTCATTTTGCCCCTTAAAAAAATTTCAATTTTACTATCTAGCATATTATTTTTATCTTTATTACCTGCTATAAAAACGCAAACAAATATCATTCAAATTTAGGGATTAAATATTTCATATGGCTTAGTGATTGAATATCCCACAGTTTCTGGTCCCCTGGTATAGCAAAGTTGTAATATGTATAGTGACATCACATTTCGGGGCTTATTATCAACATGATTTAGGATAGGTTTTGCACATTTATCTCGGGGGAGGAAAAGCCGATAACACTGCATAATCATATTACGAACCACAGACTCTCGTCTGGTTATCAGTCTATGTAGAGCAGTGGTTCTCAACCTGTGGTACGGGAGTTTTTCAAGTGGTACGCGAGCAGATTTGAATTATCGCAATAATTAACCTTTCAGTTGGCTAAAATATGCCGGCAACGCTTCATATTTCTTACTGTATGTATTCGCTGAACAGCGTTTATGGATGTTTCCCCAAGCATCAGTTTCCTTATTTATTTTCAAAACTATAACCAATCAGCAATAAGTCAATAATGACGCAACACGTAACAATTGCAATTTCAGCACCCAGCCGCTCAGACGGTTCCATTACATTTGAACCCATGACAATTGCACTTGCATACTATTGCACCTATGGAATTTTTTTTGTTTCACGGATATTTGAACCCATACTCACCCTAACCCATGGGTTTTAGCACTCGCATGTAGATTGAACCCGCGGATATATGCATGGGTTTGAATGTATGTGGGTTCTAATGTACGGTCACCGCTCAGACACTTCTGTCGCTCAAACAGATATTCAAGCATGGTTGCAAACATTGCCTTGTTTTTGTAGTTTTGAGTGATATTTGTCAGTTTTCAGTTGTGTTTCATGAAAAATAGTTGTGTATTATTTAACTCAATTATCATTATGTCTTCCGCAATGCTTTACTTCAGTTGCAGTATCCAAAATTGAATCTCACAAATGCTGCGATGGACAAGGCTAAACTTAGCAATATCAGTACCTGCAAACGGCACGTGGTTGATTAATTTTAATAAAAATGATGGTTTCAAACACGTAAACCAGTTTATATGCGCCAACACACCAAAACACTCTCAGAATAAGCAGAAAGTTTGCAAAGCGATATCGGCATGTTTGTGTTCGTTTTGCGTGTTACGCCACAAATGATGTAGTGCCACATTATAAAATACACCCATAGCACGTTTCGTGTGTCTTTTTCCTCACGCCAAAAAAGGAGTTTTGTCGGTGGTACACGGCCACAGTAAAAAACAGGAAAGTGGTACGCGGTCAGTAAAAGGTTGAGAACCACTGATGTAAAGTATGGGGTTAGTTAGTCAATATTTTCAATTGCATGAACTTAATGGTGGAGGAAGCCATAAATGACCAGCGGTTATGCAGTTACGTGAAACACCCTACAGCGCCGAAGAGTCCAGCAATCCTCTCACACATAAATATCCCCCACAGGATTCGAACCTGCAAACCCACAGGGTAATCAAAGGGGGTGGTACCAAGTGTATTCATATCGCTTAGCCCGATGCACCACACAACCGAGCCTGTAACTGTCTATTACATCGTGTAGGAGATGATTGAAAACATACATATGAATACTTTGAAAAAGCATTATAGGGAAGTTGAGAATAAATATTACTCAAATCTTACTATTTGGTAATTGTTCTGATTTCCTCTTTCCGGTAGATGCAGATTCCCAATATTTGCTCCAGCAAAGTTGATAGGCGGAGGTCCTCTGCGTTCTATAAATATAAGTATAAAAAGCTTTTAAAAGGTGTTAAAATGTTTTAAGTAGCATTTCATCTTAACGTCTGTTAATTTTGCGTTATTTTTTTAACACCTTGTAGTTCTAACTAAGTTGTTATCAGGCCAGTGTGATGGACTGGTCGTTAAAGTGTTTGACTTAACTGTGTTGACATCGCAGATTATTATATATCGGATTCAAATCTCATGATCATCACCTGAAATCTGATAAATTGGGTGGGCAATGGGTACTGAAAATGCAGATAACCGCACACACGCATAAAAACTACCATCGCTGCCAATAAGCAGCCAATAAAATAGACTCAAAATTTGTATTTTTATGTTTCATTAAAGATTATGTAATTGTATCCTAAGTAAATGTTTCATCATTAGTTCTAGATTTATTCATATTATACAATTCAAATATGAGGTCCAATTTTTTAGTTGTAAGTGTTGAAAAGTCCTAGAGAAACATTGCCAAGTAATCATGTATTATCTAAACAGTAAAATAAATATTCTCAAATCATAAATGTTACATGACTACTCAAACTTTGGTATCTAATTTACAATTTTCTCCAAATGTAATTCTTTGCTCGCTTGGAATTAAAAAAAATTAGACATTCTGATGCCACTTGCGAATAAAATTCATCATACTACTTTTAAAATGAGACAATATTTTGGTAGAAGGTAGAAGGTATTGTAGCATCCTTTGTCAGCAAGACACACAGTATTTGGCGCGTATGTTATTAAATTCACCCAGTTGGCCCACCGGTTCACCCATCAAATTCAACCAATATCAGATGATATCGACTACTCGGGACGCGACGATCAACGAGTTGACCAGCTTTGCTAGAGAGCAGTGGTTCCTAAACTTTTTGAAAAAAATTCCATGACGTACCCCTCGCAATTTTTTTAATGATTCCCGGTCTTGTACACCAAAACATTAAAAGATCACAACAAAAAAATCAACGCGCTGTATAGTGAACCGAACAAAAGAATATAAAGCGCAACTCTAATGACATGTGTGAGTGTGACATCCAGTCTGTTTCGATATTTGGTAAAAGGGCAGCGTCAGTTACAGCTCTGCAGTTAGTATACCTGTGGTGGCATGAATTAGCTCTCTCTGTGATATCACAGGCCCACAGCTCTGTGACATTACAATGGGGCAGCGTGATCGAAACAGAAAGTGAAGAATCAGTGTCTCTAGCGGTGATTGCAAAACAGCAAAAGGCGACAAATGTGTATTTGTTTAGGCACTCAATTTTTGTATTATCAAGCTAATAGCCATATTACAGATTTGTTTCGCGGACCCTCCAAAAGTGCTTCACGGTCCCCAAATGGTCCGCAGACCCCAGTTTGGAAACCACTGCTATAGAGTGATTGCTGTAAATCCCAATAGTCGCAATTTAGTGCATACTGTAATTCTTACTTGGTTTGCTTTAATTTTAATATCATGCTGTAGTCCAGGGGTGTGCAAACTTTATTACAGGAGGGCCAGATACAAGTAACTGGGTAAGGCTGCAGGCCATGCCTTTGCTATGTTTTCTCAACAGTGTGTATTTGGCAACAGAGTTCTGCTAGCTAGTGTTGCTAATATTACAGTATAGACTTTGGGCGCAAAGAGATTGGAATTGCCTGCACGTACCAGGTAAACGAAACTAAAAACTCGTTTCGTGGGCCACGGACCACATTTTGCACACCCCTGTGCTAGTCGATTAGGATATAATCCATGACAAAACTGGAATATATGTTACAATGAGTTGGGCAGTCTATCGTCACCACAATATGATTCTGACTGCCAGTGGTTGCTCTTATGTATACTCGTATGTGTATTATTCACAGAAGTCCATGACAAAAAAAATTAAAATCTACATAATCCTGAAATATACCTTTTATAACATTTTTGACTGCGTTTTATGCCAGAGTTTCCCCATTCATCCTTGGCCCAGACTTGGAAACGATATTTTTACCAAGTGTAGGTGACTTCATCCTATACTGAGGAACTTCTGTAGTGTGAGTCTCTCCATGTTTTTCATCATCATAGAAGATTTCTATGTTGTATAGAACGTTTCTGTCAGATACTGCATTCCAAGTCAAAAGAATGTCGAATCCACTTCTTTGAGATGAAACATTTTCAATTTGCGGCAAAGCTAGAAATAAAGGAGTGAGTTAGTAAATATAGTAATCAGTAATTTATTTCTTCAACATGCTGAAAGTACAAACTATACATACACAAATTGAAGGAAATATAAAAAGTCGCTTTCCAGGGTGAAAGGAGATGTCGAAAACCAATACTGGTTATCGAGCGATTCCACCCTTAGGGAAATCTAACAGAAACCCGATGAATATAATAAAATCGAACTAAATATGTTATTGAATAAATAAAATGAAAAGCAATAGGTACGCCAAAGCAACCCGATACATACCTAACAATCACTGTTTCAGCAAAAAAAAGTCGATTCCATGCACCACAGTCTAGTTACCATGAAAATAAAAGTGCGAGACCAGACAGTCTCACAGTGTTGTGTTGGCGAGATACCGTAAAAAAAGTAGGCTAAATTTGAGGGCATCGAACATTTAATTGTGTGCATATATACCATCAAGTGTACAAGTGACAAAATCATGACACTTTTTGGCAGGAAGAAACCTGTAGTATTTACCCTAACATGGTACCGTGTACTAACAAGTGTTTTGATACTGGAGTCAAAAGAATTACGAGGACATGGATATTCATGAGCATAAATATGTATAACCTGCTTTGCAAATATTCTGTTCTAGATTCTTCAATTCCCCATAAATCATTAGTTTCATATTGCACAAGTTACACTCTAAAATCATAATATATTTCAAGTTAAAAAATTACCTTCGTTTACATTTATGCTCGCGCAAAACACCAAACTACTTTCGATTTTGTACTTCAGGCTAGTCCAAGCTTGCAAAGTTGGAGGGCCACAATTTCAAGCAGGCCTTGTGAGTCGCAGTAGTGGGATTCACCCGGTTCTGTTACAAAAAGTCATTGAGAGTAACCAGTAATGTTAACCGGTTCGCTGTTCTCATAAAATTCTGTGAGACGGTTCTATAGAACCGGTGCGAACCGGCTGAATCCCACTACTGGATACGACCAAAGGCCATCAAAGTCAGCCACCACCCATTCTAGATAAATAATTATTGAGAAAAAAAATATACAGTAACCGTCGACTAGTTAACTACCAAATATTTAAACGAAGTATACTCTCAATAATAGGTACCAGAGAAAATAGGTGAATTGTAGAAAATTATTTAAAATTAGTTTGAAAATTGAAAGATAGTAAGAAACAGTGGCAATGTGACCATTATATGATGGACAGTTACATGTTTTAATCACTATTGAATATTATAACTATACTCTAGTAATCCTTAACAAGAAAATTTAGGTAACTTTTTTTAAATTTCACATAGGAAGCCAATCTAATAAATTCAGGAATTTGATTCCAAATTTTTTGGACCAGTGCACTTGATTGATTCTTGGGAGAATTTTGTGTCAGCTCTTGGAATAAAATATGAATTTTATAAAGAGGATCGTGTATTTTTTATGAATATTGGCTACTTTAATCGGTGAAATATGACGCAAACGATTCAAGTAAACTCGCTGAGGAGAATTTATGCATGATTTTCCCTATTTCATAGTGAAATAAGTCATTCAGTTTCAAAATAGTGGACTAAGTCTAGTTCGCAACGGCACATTTGATATAGTCCTGACAGCGCGGTTTTGATGCTGAACCCCATAGGACAATATCATATTGAATGGAAGAATGAAAAATTGCGAAATAAACAGTTCGTAAAACACTCAATGGCACATAATTTTTGAGCCTGATTAAAATACCAACAGCCCTTGACAGTCTATGCACAAACATGGATTCGGGTATCGGGTTCCTCATGTTTACTTTCTTTCAAAGACTGGCCACTACGAGACTAGTATAAGTTTATTTCGACTCAATAATCAGCATAGGCTTATTACAGCTATTAGACGATGAAACAATTGAATATGGTAAAATGCATATCTTCCCGGACTTCCCAGATAGCAAGGTCTGTTCAACTGTTTGTCACCAGTTGGGAGAAAAATTTATCGCCGAAGTAAGGCCGAGATCGCCATGGCGACCAATTTTGTCCCTGTTCTGCAGAACAATTTCAGAAAGCATGTGGAACAGAACACAGTTTGAGAAACGCTGCACTAAAGTATTTGAAACAATTGATTGTAATATATGTCAGTGGTTCCCAAATGACTAGTTTTCCACAAGACTATTGCATCGTTCAATTTAAACTCATTTAAATAAAAAAATTTTGTTTTAAAAATGAAATAAATTAACAAAATTAACATTGAGAGAGGGAAGACTATGTTAAAATTTTAGCTGAGTTATAATAATATATAATTTAATATTTATAATACAGTCACACAATCATAAATTGCATTAATGCAATGCGTTGGGATTTGTAATACAGAATTATAAAAACTGTTAAAATTAACGTTGAAAGAGGGAAATACGAGAGTTTCAATATCGGAAAAAATACCCTGATTTAAATTAAACAGATAATCCGATGTATTACAGGAAATAAATTAAATTTGAAAACCTATGGACTTATTCTTTCTTTTTCAAAGAATCTTTTTTCTTCTCAGGGGATTTTTCCTCCCCGGCTTTTTTCTGAGGGAATTTTTCCTCCTCAGCTCCCCCATACGCAGAATAATCTATCACACAACTTGTGATTATCTTCTCAATTCGATGGAACGGATCAAAGTTGACGCCAAACTTGGAAGAAGCCTGAAATAACGAGAATTTGTTAAACTTCTTATATGTAGAGTTGGTCTAAACGTGTCATAGGACTTGAAATGCCTGCTATCTAACCTCTAAGTAACCTGCATGAGTTCATAGGTTCGAATCCTGCAGGGAATTCCGAGGCCAGCGCTATAAATAAGTTTGTAATTTTTTTCAATGGGAAGACTATTTAATGGGAGGGAATAAATACATAAATACATACAAATACATAGGTACAAATACAAGGCAAGAATTTGTTTCAGTGACATGCCCAGGTAATGTGTTACCAGATATTCGAATAGTAAACTGCAGCTCTAATATTTTAGTATCGATACGATATTCAAATATTTCGCCTGCTCTACTCAGTATTTTTGGATTTGATTCATTATGTAAATAAACTATTTTATTTCCAAGGTAAATCAAAACTTGGCTGGTATTTGAGTTTGCAACCTACAAAAAACTTTCTCTTGTGAAAGTGGATTGCAACCATAAAAGACATTAGGCAGGCCTGCTGTAGAGAATAACCCTTAACCTGGTACACATTACGGAAGTATCTAATTGGCCTGGCCGTATTAGAACGCAAAAAGGTAAAAACACAAATTGTTAATCTATTTCACTCAAGTTCAGCAGGTCATATTAAATCATGGCTAATTGCCTATAATCTATTATATCTTACCGATATCACGAACATCACTGTTAGTTGTAGAAGAACAACAGTGTTGAATGAGATCGGCAGGATTCCTAGAAGTTGTAGATTGTAAAGTAGAGAGAACAGAAGGCTGAGCTTTGTTACTCTGAAAAAAATAGGATATTATGGTAAATTGCCCGTAACTAAATTCAAAATTGTAAGAACGGGTTCTCTTTTGTGTCAAACTGGTTCCCTAATCTTAGAAAACCATTTCACGTTCCCAAAGAGCGATTCAGAATTTTAGAACGGGTTCCCTTATGTATCAAGCTCACGAACAACGGGTTCTTTCATTTTAGAAAATGTATGAATGCCACTATCAGAGCTGGAGTTGGAGCAAAGCCTACCGGGTTAGATGGAGCCGGAGTCACCACAAATTTTAGTAGCGCTAGCTCATAGCATCTTATTAACTTTTATTATTTTAGTGATATTTAGAAATTGGAGTCAAAACATTGAATTTTGTTTCATGGTGAAATCTATATTTAAACTCTTGGAATTGTAAACTTGATTGTCTGTCTGCTCCAAAGACTTCAAAATCTTTACTCCTGCTCGAATGTGCCAGAAGTTTGCAATAAATTGAAACTCCATAGCCCAGTCACTAACTACCGTAATAATTACCGTAATTTTTATGTCTCGATTTGTAACAAATCAATACTCACGTCGAACAAATGAATAGATTTCACGGTCTCATGATTCCATTGTTTTCTCACAAACGTTGCAGCATTTTTGACGAACCCCCCCCCGCAGGCTCCAAACATTCCAAGAATAGTACAGATCAAGAGAGAGTCAGGGAAAGCTCCACGACCAAGTTTCACTCCTAAATTATGAAAATAATTGTTTGAAATAACAAGAGAGTAGAATTCTAATAATTGAACATACGTGGAGATGAGCACAGCGAAATAAAGTGTTGTCGTGTGAGAATCGTAGTGAAACAAAATCATTTTTTGAAGTGAACAATACCTTCAGAAATACCTGAATTACGAAAACGTTGTTTGGAATAACAAGAGAGCAACGCTTGGCATTCATACCATCACGCAGCACATGTATCAATGCTTAAATATATGCTGGCATTAACTGAGAACCGAGACTACGGAAGAAAAACAAGCACAGCGTATTTCCGTGTGTCATGAAATAAAGTTCTTACAAATTAAATTTGTCCTGGAATCTGGAACAAATGACTGGCTAACTTACACCATACTCAACACAGACTGTTATTGTTAAACTGTCTTATCAACATTCCTTTCCCCTGATAAACATCAAACATCAAATATCAGAAAGTGTAAACAAATATATAGAAAACCTTTTATAATTTTTCTTGTTCGGATCATTTCTTTTCCCAGAACAATCACTAACATCGCTGGTTTCCATGACAACAAATTATAAATGACATCTTTGGGAGAGTAGAAGATGTGCCACCATACTATTGTCATCATGAGAACTGACTGAAATGAAAAATTATTATATGTTGTATGAATTATTAATATGTCCAGGCTATCATATGCTATGTTGCCACCGATACCTGTCGATACGTGAGGATCTACAATTTTACGAATGATTGAAATCTTTCCGGTTTAGCACAGCCTACTCCAGCGTTTCTCAAACTCTGTTCCGCAGAACACTACCGTTCTGCAAGGTTAGAACAGAGGTTGAAATTACGACCAAATTGGTCGCCATAGCGATCTTGGCTGTAAGGGACTCTGGATCGTGAATTCGACCGCCGGAAGGCCTCGTACCAGTTTGGAAAACATAGCATAATATGCTTTTTTACTCAGATTAACTATTCAGGGATGTGCAGCTTTCAATACAAGGGGTACAAATAAGTGGGTGAAACCGCGGGCCACACCATTATTTTAACAGAGGTTTCTAGTAGACACAAAAATATTGGTTATTGATCTCATGACATGCGTTGTTCGCTTCGCACAACCTAGCTGTTAGGGCATTGTAAGGTCATAGATAAAATTGGACTCGGGTATAGGCTTTGCAATGCAAATGGATCGGAATTACTCTCACATACTAGATTAAACAACTATAAAATTGCAGGCCGCATTATTTTTCCTTGTGGGCCGCATTTGGCCACAGACCGCAGATTGCACAGCCCTGAGCTTAACAATAAAACAAATCCATACCTGATTATTGGATAGAGGAGTCAGAGCAGGTTTTCCTACACAAACACTTATAATCATCCCTCCACCGTAGCAACAAGCTATCGACATCAACCATGTGGCAACTGGCTGTTTCCTTGCCTTGTTGACATCTGAATTTAAAAATAATTTTCTTAAAGGGCTTCGTGATTGAAACTCAGGGGCTTTCCGAGCTATTCACTTACTTATTAAAATACTGAATTGGCTGATTTTGTAACTGTCCAAAAAGCTATAACGTCATCAATAAAATTTTACAAGCGGAGTCATTAAATAAAGTGAATTTAACTTATTCAGAAACAATAATCGGCAAATAACAATTGTGTTTTATTTTTTGAAACTAATTGTGGGGCTTTGTACTAAATAGTCAACTTCTTCCCGGGTTCCATAACACTACAAGTTTGAGAACCCCTACACTAGAGTATATCTCAGTTAAAAAGCATGCAATAGATTTATTTTGGGATTCTATGTTCTACCCAAAGTATAATTATTTAGGAGGTATCAACTACTGATAGAAAATAGGCCTTTAGAAAGCATCAAGCCATCCTTCTGAGTCTGCGGGTCGGAACCAGTAGTGGGATTCAACCGGTTCGCACCGGTTCTATAGAACCGTCTCACAGAATTTTATGAGATCTGCGGACCGGTTGACATTACTGAAAAAAAACATGACTTTTTGTAACAGAACTGGCTGAAAAATATGACATTTGTGTGATGGAACCGGCTGACAAAAAATTGGAATCCCGCCACTGGTCGAAACCACATTTTTTGAAACGTAAAAACTGTCTATATATGATCAACTCACCCCAGTCATTCCGTACTCCGTAAATTACCAGAGTATAATGAGCAATCTCTATGATTGTTGCCAGATATACTATCAAGTTATTTGTTGCGTCTGCTATAGATGAAACATCCATTATGATATACTGAGAAACAATGAAAAATGGAAAATTAGAAATGGGTGTAGTATAATTCAGTATGAATATACAGTATCTAGATTTGAAAAAAAAATACCATATACCGTATATATATACAGGCCGGCAGCTAGCAATAGGGGGAAGATGTTTGATTTGAAAATTTTATCTTTTACTTGCAAAGAGAGGCGAGCTACACACAACTATGGAATATATTAAACAGCATTTTGCTATGAAAGCCACAGCCCGACAGCCGGTGTCGTGAATTGCAGTTTGTTTGAATTTCAAATATCCTTATATTATCTCAGAAACGTGAAATAACGAGTATATAAAAACCAATGACAACACACTGATGTAAAATCTTGAAATTCCAAAATTTCCTAAACCTTCCACTGTTCCACTAAGGCTCAAAATATTACGCGTAGACTATTTCTGTAGTGCGGTTATGTGCAAACTTTTGAACTGTCTTTCTACCATCCTCCCAGAAGTAACTACTAAAGAAGCTTCTTATTCTACCAACTTTAATAAACACAGTATACAGGTACCGGTATAGCAAATAAAACTGGCCAACGCAAGGTCGCGCTTTAGACCGGCGAAGTCAGCTGGGAATGCAGCTGCACTCAGCTGAGCTGTTGATAATAAGCGGGGTCAAATTGTGTGCAGCGGAGCGTTACCGACAAGTCCCACTGAACATGGACCTTTCCCCGAGCATCGACTACCTTGTTTACTTCGTGACATTGGCCAATCATCAAGATGCACAAACTGACGTAACAATGCCCCCATTTCGCATCCGCTCAGACACTTTTCTCACTCAGACAGATTTTCAAGCGTGGTTGTAAACCTTACCTCGTTTTTGCGTTTTTAAACTCTATTCGTTAGTTTTCAGTTGTGTTTCGGAAACTTAAATATAAATCAGATATTTCAATGGTCACTCTGTCTTTCTAGGAGAATTTAATTGCAGTAAAAAAAATAAGTGTAGAAATAGCTGTGATAGACTAGCCTGAAATTCTTTATCGGTATTTTTAAAAACAGATCGTTGTATGCGATGAATCATAATGATGGTTTGAAACATATACCCCATTTTACGGGCGCCAACACACAAAAGCACTCCTAAAATAGCCACGAGAATATTGCAATGGTAAAGTATAGGAAGAATATTCCGGGGTCAAAGGTCGGGGAAAGGTGCATAGCTCTCAATCAACCAATCAATTTTATTTTAATCACTCTGATAGGAACAAAACAACAACAAACGGACAAACAAAACACAGACGACCTGGAGGACGGGCATAACTTAATAAAAAAGTTATAAACGTACAAGTACGTGCCCTTCCACCAAAAACAGTCAAAAGAACACAATAAAACAAAGAAACGATGTAAAATCGGGCAATTACAGTACCTTAGGATGGAATTTACATATTTATCCTGGGGAGAGGAAACCGATAAGACGACTTAATCATATGGCGAACCACGGTCTCTCGTCCAGTTACCAGTCCAGGTTGGTATGGGATTAGTTATTTGTTTTCGGAAGCATGGGCTTGATGGTGGAGGAAGCCGTAACCGACCAGCGGTGTCGGAGTCCAGCAATCCTCTCGCACATGATTATCCCTGCATGCGATGCGAACCTACGAAGAGTAATCGGAGATGAGGTGGCGAGCGTATTCCTAACGCTTAGCACGATGCGCCACACCGGTGCTTTTCCTGCAAAAATATGGAATAAAAAACACTCGTTGACGTAATATGGTGATGCTGTGGTTCAATTTCATTGCAAAAAACAGTGACAAAAAATTGTTACTGAAAAAAACAAACTCTGTAAATAGATTGAATGTTTCATAACAGTCCATGCACAAACGTAGATTGGGGTATCAGGTTCTTCTGTTTACTTTCTTTCAAAGACTGGAGTCTACGAGACTAGTATAAGTTTATTTCGACTCAATAATCAGCATAGGCCTATTACAGCTATAAGACAATGGAATAATTGAATATGGTACTGTGTCGTATGCGGGTGCTCTGTAACGTCTGAGAAACAACCTGACCGATCTTTCCATGAGTTCCCAAGCTTCGGAATAACGCACAATTAAAAG